TTACAGAACAATCAGCTGTTCTGCATCAAATTTGATGCAACACAAATTGTTTGTGCCACTCCAAAAAATCATTTCTGTCCACTATGAGATAAAGGAGAACAACAGCCTGATACCTGCAGGCCTGACAGCAGGAGATGTATCACTCCTGTAACACCTGTAACATTCAGCAGTCGCCTCATTGTTCTGACACACACAACAAAACTACACTACACACTAACTACACAAGATTTGCGCTAAATGTCTCAAATCTCTCACATCTCAAAACACCGCCGTCACTCCTAAAACTTGACCCCGTTTCTTAACAACTAGATGCCACGTTACCATATCATTTTTTGATTGGTCGCCATGGTACATTTTTCGACCAATAGGAAAGGGTTTTTTTGGTTTTTGAGTGTTTCGAGCCGTCTTTACTGTTTCTTCCTGCAGTAAATATAAACAACGATAGTATTCAGGAAGAAAACCAAACATAGCAGATATTTTTTTATCATAACTCTGGTTTTACGTGGCCTATCAACACAATTTAAAAACTGGTATAAAGTCCACACTTTTTCCGTCAATTGTTCCGTCTGTCCTGCTCACGTCTCCAATGGTTGTACACGTTGTCATTAACGTGGCTTCACTCCACATCAGCCACGCAACTTTGCTAGCTAAAACACCGGTATCAGCACATACGGATGCTGTCATAGCCTGTCAACGTCGTTAATTAGCTGCGTATATACGAATGTGAATCGCATTATTGGCTGGACTATGGGATAAGGTGGCATAATAATCGTCCATACGGGAGCAGCCAGTCACTTACTAACACTGCCAAACAGAATTGTATTTGTAGAAATTTGTAAAATGTATAAAGTATTAATTTAAATTTCAATTCAGGTTAGTTTTTTTTTTTCTGTGCGCAGAGACCGTGCCAGCAGTGCGCAATTGCGCACGTACGCAGCTTAGAGGGAACATTGGTGAAGAGTAAGTGGAGCGTTGTGTTTTACCACAGAGTTGAGTCTGTAATGCACCCATGGTGCTCAGCTGTCAGTCTTTGAGTTTGTTCTCCATCCCAAAGTGTCAAATACTGGCACGCTGTCAAAGCTGGTATCATCTCACAGATACACATCAGGTGTCCTTTGATACTTGTGCTTTGACACAGTCGGCTGTGGCAGTGGTGACACAGGTCTCTCACTTCTAAATCACCATATGTGGAAGCTCAGAGAGGTCCCTTTAGATGCACTGGTTAAGTGTCACTTTTCAGCATGCAGGGTTAATGTTATGAGCAGTTGTAGTTGGACCCAAACAAGCATCTATTGCAAAGCCTAGCATAAACTTGGAAAGCCAACGAAAGCAAACTTCCAACCTCACCCCTTCAACTTCATTTTGAAGTTGGAGGGGTCTCTTGGCTCCTTTTGCTCATGTGTGAAAGAACTGAAGTCAAAGGTAACTTGGTGATATCTAGGATGATGTCAGCACCTAGCAAAACTGCAGTATTTAACATGAGATTTAACAGCATTGCAGTCCGTGCAGTCTAAATTAACATCATTTCCCCAAACCTCTGCCTCTGTTCTTGTGGTTTGCAGTGTTATGTTAGGCTGAATTGTGTTGGGAAATTTCCTTTTTTTTTTTTTTTACATTCTTATTTTTTTTCCATTCTACTTGACACAGGAGAAAATTCTTGTATACGTAAGTAACTGTTTCTAACAAAAGGCTTTCTTCTTTTCCCGCTTGATTGACTCATCTTAAGCAATAAAAGGGAGAGAAGCTGCTTGTCAAGGTTCATTAAGTCAGTGGACACCTTCCCTCGGGAGTTAGGAGGGTCAGTGATTTGACTCATAGTTCAACAACAAGTCATTAACTCTCATTCAGTCCATGAAGAGCACTCAGATGCATGTTTCCTACAAGCTCTTGTTAGGTATCAGAGAGCTACCTTCAACAGAGTGCAGCGATGTAACACGGCGTGGCCGGGCGCCGACCGGCACATTCTGTGACACACATGCACACGGAATCAGATCATCTGTAAATTTGGCCCGCTCTGAGTTCAGCGTGCCAGGTCATAAATGGCGTGTAGCCTCACTGATCTCCAGCCTACCTCCTGTCAGCCCAAGTTGCGAAAGAGAGAGAAAGGAGAGGTGTAAAAATCTGTGTTGCTACGGTTGCAGAGACGATGAACACCTTCAGCTCAACAGTATGCCACATCACATTTCCAGCTGTTTAGCGTTTCATGTGCAAACACAGAAAACACGTCTTTGTTCCCGCATTCTTTTACCTTTAGCTGCTCTTTGCACTTAAACACAGAGACACATTAGTGTTCGCTGGATTCTGAGGAGAGAAGAGCCATGGAAGTTTTCAAGTTTTCAGTCTCGCTTACATTACAGAAATTAAATGGGGTTTTTTTTAGCTTTTTTATTTTCTCGTCAGTATTTTTACAAGTGCAGGCTAATTGATTAATTATCATCAAATCCTCCAGTATTTCTGAAAACTGAGCTGATTGTCACTTGATCCAGTAAAGCTGCAAATTACAAGTGGACTTGAAGCGGAAATTAGTGAAACATTTTCACTAGACAAAAGACTTAATATTAGAGTCCCAGACTTCATTGTGTGTATTTTTTTCTGGTGTGAGCATCTCTTTCTGTCGCCCAACTCTCATGTTCAGAGCGGATCACATGGGACCGCTTGACTCCGTTACGTGCTTTGTTCGCCATCGCAGTTCTCATCCTAACAGACAGCTGTGTCGAACGCCGTTTTGTTAGGCCGTTCCCAAACGGTGAGAAGCTGAGCCGGACTGTGCGAGCTCTCATTTGGTGTTGCCGGAGCACTTTATAGCAAAAGTAAAATGGCTTAAAATGAAAGAAAAATGGGGGTCGCGATTGACTTTAACACACTCTACTCAAACCTCGGTTCAGCAAGAGGCTGTCTGACCTAAATTTACTTTACCTCATCTGCCTAGACATTTGTTTAGCCTTCTGGGCAAACACTTAGAGAAATGTTTGAGGGAGAGAGGAGGAAAAAAAGAATACATATGCTTGAATACATCACATTTAGTCAAGGGAAAAGTAAAACCCGGACATCTGCAGACATATACAGCCCTCTAGTGGCAAACTACAAGGGACCTGAATGTCTGACAGGGAGGGCATGAAGTGATTTATGCAGAATTTCCTAAACCATCTGTGGAAGTCGTGCCCAACCGCAGACCATGAACATTCTCTGTGTTGACATCAGACCCGGTTTTCTGTAACAGACCTTAATAAACGTTACTTAATCCCAAATAACAGGAGTCACGAGTGAATGGGAAAAACAACAGTGGCTGAGCAGAATAAATGAATTGAGGTCATAGAATCTTACCATCAGAGAGAAATTTTGTCTTTTGAGTACTGTACTCATTACAATGGCCCGGAGGAACTGTGTGCTGTGAAATCATATGCTCTAGTTAAGCTAAACAAGGGCAAGGTATTCCCACATGAAGGGCAGATGAGAATAAGTAAGTAGAAATGCAGGCAGATGAGTAAGAGTTGAAGATGGTTTAGTGCTGTTTGGCCCTGGTATCTCACTCAGATTCTCAGGTTGCAAATATATTCTCCCCCCTCTCTCGATCTCTACCTCTACCTCTCTCTGTCTGTGTGCGTGTGCGAGGCAAACCTCAAGGGCTCAGTGCAGCGAGCTCATTAAAGGCTTTATTCCACTTCCAGGATCGAGCGGGACTGCAATATGGACATTGTTTATACACAAACGTTGCCCTGGGAATAATGTTTATTTCTATTACCATCTTGGAGGGGTGTGGGTGTGGGGAGGGGGGGTACTGAGCATGTCTGCACTCATTGCTTTTCATGAAATAATGCCTCTCCAGGAGTGCCTTGAAGAAACGGCCATTTTTCAAACCACATTTCTCCAGCCTGCAGTCAAGCGTCAGCTGCCCTCCTCTCTTGCCCTCTCGCCCTCCGGTGGCACGCGATCGTGTTACGAGAGCCGTGTCAGGAGCAGTTTAACCGTGCACGTGAACTAATGAGCCTCATTCTGTAAAAGGCTTCTTCATTCATTTGCATACAGACTGAACGTCGGTGTATGTGCTGCACAGCCGGACGGGGGGGTTTCGAGTTTACCTCGGCCGAGCGGTCACAGAAGTGTCATTTTAAGCGGCAGAGCCCGGCGGGGCGACTGGGAGGCAGCCGATGACGCAGCGCAGTGTTGCTACACACCCCGAGCTGTGTTTGGAAACACTGAGGCAGCTTGCTACTACAGTGGGAGCCAATGGGAACAGCTGAACCGTGCACTCTTTAGCCCAGTCAAGCGCAAAACAGGGGGGAGGAGGAGAGGGAGGCGGCGAACAGAGAGACAACAGAGATCCAGGAAATGCCTGAGCGAGGAGCAGTGACGGCGGGGCCCATCAAGTCGCACGCAGCCGCATCGGGCCGCACATTGATCACTCTCACATGATATATCCATCCCCCTGTAATTGCATTGCTGTTTAGAGAGGCAGTCGTTATTTATGAAATATTGAAATAACAAATGGTGTCTCCCGGCAGATATTAAGAAGAGAGATGCCACAGATAAGTCAGAGGCAGGCAGCGGCCACGTCTCCCCGCGGGCCGCTTGCCCAGTCGCCTGGCTGCAGAAATCCTGCAGTCATCACAAAGTGGAAATATTTACTGCTCGCACTCTTGCATACGGGAGGATGGAGTGTGGGTGAGGGCAGCTGAAAAATGACTGTTTGTGTTTCGAGAGGAGTGCTAATCAGATTCCTTCAGCTTCGGAGGCATTTGAGGACAGCCGAGCTAAAGGTCCCTAGTGTGGATTTATAAGTTGCACAAGCACAAATGGGCACAGAGCCACCAGACAGGAAGTTTCTAATCACAGCCTACAAAAACTGGGAGAAAATGCAGGGTTTTCACATTTTCCATGCTGGTGAAATTTCGTAGCCAACTTGTTAACAAGGCCCACTGTAAATGAATCCTCTAAATCACTTCGGTCATCATCAGGTTTGTTGTGTAACCGTGTGGGTGTCTGTGTGTTTGTGTCTACAGAACACCCTTGAGACCTGCACCATCTGCAGTAAGCCCATTATGGAGCGCATCCTGCGAGCTACTGGGAAAGCCTACCACCCTCACTGCTTCACCTGCGTGGTGTGTCACCGCAGCCTGGACGGCATCCCTTTCACTGTGGACGCTTCCAACCACATCCACTGCATCGAGGATTTCCACAAGTATGTAAACAAGTCCCTTTTAGATTTGAAGCGTCACTCATCGCTATATTTGACGTGTACACACGAGGGAAGTTTGCTTTCACTTGTCATACTGTAACGCAGATAAGAGGTCGCACAAAGCTGGTTATAAGTTAACCCAGGGTTTTTCCTGTATGTGGCGTTAGCAGCAGCTGACCAATTACAATTATTCATAAGTGTAATGGGAGCAGAGTGGCTGATATTACAAGGGAAGATGAATGGGAAACGTATTAAGAGGTTAAGCATATAATACAGGCTGAAAGCAGCACAGCTGCTGCAGACAAAGCAGCAGACTGTGAGTTTGTGTGAAAGGAAAAACGCTGTAGAATAATATAGCATTAAACGCGTGTGCTTTAATCGCTTTGGTCAGGACAACTTTAAAAGATCTGCTATATTAATAAAGTCTGAGTTGTTGTTGTTGTTGTTAGCCAGCAAGGCTAAATGCAGTGTCTACGGCGGATCTATGAATATCATTCGGACACAATAGAATCTGATGGATTATACTGTACTTGAGTATGTCATTAAATGAATGTTTTTTATATTTGTTCCTTCAGCTACAGCCTCCATGGTGTTGGAAACCGTTTCCAGCCAACAGAGACTAAAGCTCCATCTAAGAATCTATATTTCTCACTGATCCTCATCCAGCAATTTTGTGCGTGTTGACCTTTAATCTGGAACATAACCTGCTCCGGTTCACAGCATACAGTAGGTTACCATGGTGATTATACCTCTGAAAGAAGTGAACCACCTTCATAGTACAGGAAAGCCAGGATTAACCTTAAAGGTACCTGGATTAGACAATAGCTTCTGGACAGAAACATGAATCCACTGCAAATGTGCCGTAAACCTTCGTTCCCTCTAACGGCCAACAGGGGGCAACTCCTCTGGATGTAAAACAAAGTACGACTGTATAGACGATTGTGAGAAAATGACCCTTCGTCTCGCTTGATTTTTACCTCGGTGAACTTTTTTCCTAATTTTCCAAGTTTAATGTCTTCTTTAAAAAAGCATTATTTATATTTTTGTAAGTTACTTTCCTATTCTGAGTAAAAAATATATTAGAGCTCTGTGTATTTTAGGACCCGGCTATTTTATGCTCATTGATAATGCTGTGCCCTTTGCTACTGGGTCATTTTCATCCACCATCCTACATTTACCAGTGGGTGATGTAATCCTGGCTACATCCGTCTGCTGTACATGTACGTCAGGAGCTGGTACCAGGTTATCGTGGCCAACAAGGCAACTTAAATGTTTAATGCCAGGGGATGTAATAATCTGTGTCAGGTCAGCACTGACCTTTTGTACAGTCACGGTACAGTTCTTGCTTAAGAGGAGGAGTCATGGATTAGAAGCACTTGTGCTATTTACGGAAGCCAAGCGAGGGGCAGCCAATCAGACGAAAGTGGGCATCTAGCGAGCAGGACTTAAGAGACAAGAACTTAAAAATATGTTGTTGGGGGTTTTTTTTTAACATACGATGCACTGAGGGCTCCATCAGCATTTAACAAACAGAATCAATGTAGAAATGGATACTGATGTTGCTCTCTACCTGCTTGGTGTCCCCGTAAAGATTTCATGAAGTGATAATATATCAGTGTTGTGTTAACAGCTTGTTTAGCAACATACAACACAAGACATGCTGTTTTAAAATCCTTTACTAACTTTTGTAAATTCATGCATTTTTAAAGCTCCTCGTCAGAACGTTAGGGCTTCCTTTTTGGGAAACATTGCAAACAGTTTCACAAATCTAGTGAACTGGATATGTAGACATGAATTTAGTAGTACATTCATGTCATTGCGTCACCCTCCACTCACTGCATAACTGCTAGCTTCCCAGAAATGTTCCTTCTTTACTCGGTGACCAGAAGGGAAACAGAAGTAAAACGCTGGCTCTTGGCATGAGTGTGCAGCTCTCGGTTTGGGAAGCCCAACGCAAGGCCCGTGTTTAATTTCACGTGACAAGCGTGGCCTCCACAGCGTGGCCCTTTGTGTCGAGGAATAGCCACGACGAGAATCTTTCTTTTTCTTTTCTTTTTTGGGCCGTGGTTCCCCAAAGCCACCTAACCTCTTTACTTCCCGATTTACAGACAATGGGTGCACGTGTAGAACAGAAGAACTTTCGGTCATGTGACAGGACCTAGAATCTCACTGCACTTTTCATATCCTCATCAGTTCTATTGTTAGACAGACCTTCTTCCGCTAAAGGCATTTGCAAGTTCAAAGGTTTGTTCTGTAAAACTCACTGAGAGTGTCCGATAAGATTTCTCAGAATGCCCCCTCTATATTTAGTAAATGTAGTTTTCTAGATTTTGTCTACTCTTCATGTTTGAGTGATGAAATAGTTAACCTTCGAGTGACTTCAAATGTGGCAACATTTACGGGCATCAGCCCTAGTGTATATTTTTATGTTCACAGTTAAACCTTTCATAGTTTTTACAGAAATTGTGCCATTGGTATGATAAGTATGATAATGAAAGCTGTGTTTGGATTATAAATCTCAAAATATTTGAGTGTTTATGCACAAAATATTTGAAATATGACACACCCACAAACCAGATGAGTTGAGACTTGGTTTGAAACAGAAGGATGGATGTAATAAAGGATGAAGTTTATCTAAATAAATAGAACTTTACGGTATTTTTTATTTCAGTTTTGTATTAAAATGGTTGAAAACCACAGTTAATGTCATGAGAACGTTTTAGAATATCTTCCGTAAATATTGAAACAGGTTCAACAGTCTATGTGAAGAGCACCACAAAGATCACAACGATCGCAATGATTTAGCCTTTTGGTCGCTTTTTCCTCATTTCTTTGCCTCCCTAAACCGTGACTCGCACATGGAAGCACAAGGCCTGATGGCTGCACCGAAAGCCTGTAAACATTTGCCGATGTGCCCGGCTGTCAGATGATAATCACGGGTTCTTAGATTGAGGGGCTGCACAACGTGAAGTTTGGCGAATACTGGGAGAGCCGACGGTCAAGAAATCATTCGTTTATTTATTAAATCAAGAAAAATGTCAAAGCTTTTCTTAGTTTTAGCCTCTCAGAATGATTTGCTGCTTTTTCTCTGGGATTTCGTGTCACACAAAAGCAATTTAAACTTGAGTTTAGAGATGTCCTTGTTGTACACGTACAGACAGAATGATTAATAGATTAATTCGCTAATGAAAAGAGCCATTAGTTGCACCTCTGCTTGAACCGTGCAGTGAAACTCTGTAAGCTTTGTGCTAATGGCAAACAGTCAGTAAAGGTCACAATGTTGCAGATTGTTCTGAGCTTATTTCTGTTGTTCTTGGTTGTTTTTCACAGGAAGTTTGCTCCTCGCTGCTGTGTGTGCTCTGAGCCTATAATGCCGGCACCGGGCCAGGAGGAGACCGTTCGTATTGTGGCCCTGGACCGTGACTTCCATGTGCAGTGCTACCGCTGTGAGGTACGAGCTCTGTGTGTTTACCAATCCCGTGTGTGTGTGTGTGTGTCCTCTATAATTAGCAGTGATGGTTCTGAATAATGTTGCACGGCTCCAGGTGACAGTCATTACTGCATAAAGGTATAAGGCATAACGTACACACCGATCCCCCGAGTCACCTTTTCAGCGAGACGAGTGAATCATCCTTCTCTTACCTGCCTCGAAATAGCTTCCCGTCTCTCCTCTGCAAAGTTCACGGACTTACATAGAAACCAATCTGTCAGGCGCTGCTCGCCTGCTTGATAAGCGGCGCTGAGACGTTACGTGCCCGGCTAAAAGAGAAGTAACGTGTCACATTGTCAAAGAGCTGCACCAGCGTGAGCACATAGAGCGTTTGCCAGACATAAAGGTCAAAGCAAAGCAGAGCAGATTAGTTCAGCTGAAGGGGCTCAACAAGAGAAGAATTTTGTCACCAGGGAGCAATGAGTAGATGGAGTTCTGAGTGTGTGTGTGTGTGTGTGTGTGTGTGTCGGGGAGAGAAAGGAAGGTTGGGTGTAAGCCAGTGTCACAGACAATGGAAAAATAATGCCATAGCATTGTGTGTATCTGTACATTCTGTTTGTTTCTTGGCATGTAAAGAGCGCACACCTCACCACATCTTACCACAACACACAGAAACCAGCTGAAGGCTGCAGTCAGACAACAGAGCTGCACACTAACAGAGCAACATTTGGCATCCCCGGGTTCACGCCACACGCTTACGGCCCGACTTGGATCGTAGGGAGTCCCTTTTGCATGTCGTGCACGGAATTTGAATGTTTATTCCCACCGAGCATTTAGCATACTTCACAAAATCCTGACACAAAAGCTTGCATGTTGTCCTCCTCGACAGTTTAGTTCTGGGAGCTCAACCAATAGGAGGGCAGTTGCTCAGCTGTGTACACCTGTAAACACGAGCGGAACAGAAGAGGAGTGAAGCTGGTGGTGCAACTCAGGACGAGCTGTGAAATGGCGCTGACAGATCGGTATCGCGCACACTGCTCCAGTTGCCATCGTCAGTTTACATTCTTTTCCTGGATGTCGGCGGTGCCTTCTGCTCAGTGACATCACGCGCATCGTGAAAGAGGTCAAGCGTGAATGACCGAGAAACAATGTGTAGTTTGTCATGTCTCCAAGTCACAAAAAGGCACAGTTTCACGACTTTATGATTGCCTGATGTGACACAGGGACACACATCATGTGAGCCTGACAACACTGTGTGATAACCGCTGTAACAGAATGTAAAACGATGGTTAATTAAACCGAATAACTGAAAATGAATAGCAAAAATGAGATAATAATGTTGTGTACTGATTATTAGCTATGATATAACTTGTGTTTCAATCATAAATGCGTGCCATAAAAATTAGTTTATAATTAGACGTGTTATGTATTCCTTTTTTTAACTAGAGCATCATTTTTACAGTAGGCAGATAATGTTCACAGATGAAAAAAGAACTATAGATTAAAACTGAATAACAATAATTGTACCAATTATTAAGAGTGGTGTTACCTAATGTTGTAGCATAACAGGAATCTTCAACAGGCGATTTTCAAGTAAGCCTCACAGAGCAGAGCGAGCAGTAAGAACACAAACACAGTCATCTCTCAGGTATTTGTGAGCTTCGTGATTAAGAGTGCGTCTGCTCCCAGACTGGATCAATCAGAGCGGAGCTCAGCAGTAACTCGGTGTTACTTTGCTTTGAAAAGGGCCAAACAAGAGCTTAGGCATATTGAAAAAGAACACGCGGAGTCTACAAAATCTCCAAGAATTAACAAGATGTGATACATGAATCAGCCAAGTGCTTCAAAAAGGAAACGATAATCAAAGAATCAACCACAAAAGTCTCTGTCAGGCTGCGCTGCTTTGAGCTAAAAAGGCTAACGCGCTCACAGTGACAAAGCAAACAGGCTTACCATTTTTTTCTGTCTCATTGCTAACTACCACTTCATAAGAATATATATGTCAATATGACATAAACTAAAGGCGCTAGAGTGGAATGTTTTCCTGTTTGATTCGTTTGAGGCGTTAAACTGCATGCTCAATAATCCTGGTAAGGAATTCTCAGAAAGTTGATTTTCTTCATCTGGATGCAACATTTCATCACTCATCAAAGTGACTTCTTCAGCCTTGTAAACATATTACCTTTCTTCAGAATCAGAATCAGAATCAGAAACTTTATTGTCATTGTCATGAGAACAACGAAATTAAGAATGGTCCCCGATCATTGCATCATCCCTAGCAATATCAAAATATAAATAAAACAATAAAATTCAATAAATAAAATAGATAGAATACTTAAAATACTAATAAGATATAACAGTAAAACATTCACATACATTCCCACACACATGCTTCAGACCGTGCATAGATTAACACAAGAGTGGCGTGATGGACATTTTTTTGTAGTATTCAGATGTGTTATTGCAGTTGGATAACAGCTGTGTTTGAGTCTATTAGTCCTTGCTCTGATTGCCCTGTACCGTCTGCCTGAGGGCAACAGTTCGAACAGGGAGTGGCCAGGATGTGAGGTGTCTTTTATGATGTTTTGGGCCTTTTTAAAACAGTGGGCGTTGTGTAGAACTTCCAGTGTGGGGAGAGGGCAGCCAGTGATCTTTTGGGCGGTGTTAATGATCCCTTGGAGTGCTTTCCTCTGAGCCCCTGTGCAGCTAGTGTACCAGATGCATATGCAGTAAGTTAGAACACTCTCAATGGTGGCTCTGTAGAAGGACACCAGCAGTTTCTGTGTGATGTTATTCCTCCTGAGAATTCTCAGGAAGTACAGTCTCTGTTGGGCCTTTTTCAGCAGCTCGGAGGTGTTCACACTCCAGGAAAGGTTCTCCTCTATATTGACTCCCAGGAAGCGGAAGCTTGCCACCCTTTCTACACAGTCCCCATTTATGAATAGTGGTTGGATCTCTGCCTTTTTCCTTCTGAAGTCTATTATGAGTTCTTTGGTTTTTGAAGTGTTGAGGAGGAGGTTATTGGCCTTACACCATGACGTCAGCTGCTCCACCTCGTCTCTGTACGTAGACTCGTCTCCCTTGGAAATGAGCCCCACCACTGTGGTGTCATCTGCAAATTTCACAAAGATGTTGCTGTGGTGGCGAGGAGTGCAGTCGTGTGTGTAGAGAGAGTAGAGCAGTGGACTGAGCACACAGCCCTGGGGTGAGCCAGTGCTGAGACTCAGGGCTGAGGATGTGTGATGGCCAACTCTGACTCTCTGTCTACGGCCCGAGAGGAAGCTATTGATCCACATGCAGGTGCTGTATGGAAGCCCCAGGTCTTGTAGCTTGGCCACCAGTTTGTGTGGAAGGATGGTGTTAAAAGCTGAGCAGTAATCCACGAAGAGCATCCGCACATAGCTACCATGCTCTTCCAGGTGAGTTAATGCAGCATGGAGTGCTGTGGCTACAGCGTCTTCCGTGGATCGGTTTGCTCTGTAGGCAAACTGGTGTGGATCCAGGCTGCGGGGCAGGGCTGCTGTGATGTGTCTGCGGACCAGCTTCTCAAAGCATTTCATTACCACTGGGGTGAGTGCCACCGGTCTGTAGTCATTCAGGCCGGTGATGTGGGGCTTCTTAGGCAAGGGGACTATGGTGGAGGACTTCAGGCAGAGTGGGACAGTCGCCTGTGCGAGGGATTTGTTGAAAATCCTGGTGAAGATCCCAGCCAGCTGTCCTGCACAATCCCTCCTGGCACACCATCAGGACCCGCCGCCTTCCTCGGGTTAACAGCCTGCAGCATGCGCCTCACCTCGTGCTCTTCCAGGGTGAGGGTGGTGCTGCTATGGGTGGCGTGTTGCTGCTGTGGCTCCAATACCTCCGGTACCCTGGTCTCAAAGCGGGCAAAGAAGATATTCAGCTCCTCTGCCAGCTCCAGGTCACCGTCCGCACCTCCGAGATTGATCTTATAGTTGGTTAGGTGCTGGATGCCTTGCCACACCTGCCGGCTGGTATTACTCTTCAAATGGTCCTCGATCCTCCTCCTATAGTCCCCCTTTGCCTCTCTGATGCCGCTCTTATGAAGTCATGCAATTTGGTTACATGCTCCTTTCGTTGCCATCTTTTTAGTTTATCTAAAAAGATGTAAAATTCCATAAAAGCTGTTCGAATAAATTTGGATCTATTGAGCTTTTCCTAAATTTCCTACGCTCCATAAATCTCCATAAGTACTTATAATCCCTGTGAACCAAACACACACTCACTGTTGGGAATGTTGCATTACGTCATTGAGTGGGAATAACCCTAATATGGACGTCTCAGGCACGGAAGCTCCGCCCACAAGTTCAAGAGGGGCAGCCAATCAGAAAAAGTGGTTTAAAGGGGAGCAGGCTAAAACTGCTTTTTTTTTCACACAAAATTAAGTTTTACTATGAATGAGGATTATTTCTTATTGTAAAAGCTTAAAAAATAAAAATATTTTCTCCACTCAAATCATTCTCACTGTAAGTAAAAACACAAGAGCACACTTTGCATTAATACCCGTGACAAAGAAAGGAGCCGGAACACAGAGAAATAGACAAATATCTGATGCTTCCACTCCTGAAAGAGACGAGCTGGAATACATTTATATTAGAATCTGTAAAAGAGGACACACATTTTGCAATCATACTTAGAAAAATTGTTCTGCTTGAAACACTTTTACAAGGGGGGAAAAAAAGTCTGAATTTAAATCCTTGAAAGATTGGGAGTTAAGCCCAACTGTGTCTGAGTACTAACCAGTTGTTTCCATTCAGACTCACCAACTGGCAGAGAACCGTAGCACAGGCTTTTCTGCAGAGAAGCTCCCGTAACGTGACACTGGCTGAGCTTTTAAATAGCAGTAAATGTGTCGTTTAGAGCCTGAGTGCAGAGAGGAGGGTGAATGTGTCTGACCGGTGAGCGTGGATAATGACCCCGTTTGTGTTTGTGGACTAACGGACTATCTGTGTCCTGCAGGACTGCGGCTCCCTACTCTCGGAGGGGGATAACCAGGGCTGCTACCCGCTGGATGGACACGTGCTCTGCAAAAACTGTAACACCAGCCGCATCCAGGCCCTCACCGCCAAGGCCACCACTGACCTCTAAACAGCTAAACTGTGATAACCCGGCCCTCGCTCGCTCTTTTGGTTTCTTGCAAACATCCACAAAAGCCTGCATTCCTCATTTACATATATATGGCTCTATATAAATGTTCACCTTAAGTAACAAAACATACTGTGGCATCACATTCACACGCTCACATATAATTATTCACTCTGTACGATCACTGCAGAAGAGTTTTTCTTATTTAAAGTTTTCTTCCTGTAGCTTAACATAAAGAGAGGAAGACATGGGAAGCAACTGCTCTTCCTCAGTCTGAAGGTTTTAAAAAAAAGGATCTCTAAAGCTCACTGAAAGAGGGTTTAGTTATAATTATATTATATTGCATTATTTTATTGTAAAAATGCTAAGCTAGCTGGTTCATCATTTAACTCTAAGCCATAGAGCTTTTACGCATTTCCTACAATTTTTGCACTGCTACTTTAAATCTAAATCCGTCTCCAATATACATCACCACCCCTGTTATCCTCCTGTTATCGTATTTATCACCAGCACATATCTTTTAGCTAGGTTGCACGTGCATGCACGGGCCCATAATGTTCCTCTCCGACTTCTTTTTCTGATCTAAAACACGAGCAGGACGTGCAAAATGTTTAATATGTTTACTGTGCAGGTGAAGTTGTGGATGGATGTCAGTGTGCGCGTGTGTGACTGTAGCTTTAGCAGTATTTTTAGGAAAAACGTGTTTGTTTTTCTGCAGGACAAATCAGAGTACAGTACACAAAATGGGATGAAATTACCCAACGAAGGCTTTCAAAACAGCTCTGCATAACTCCAAAAAGCGAATCTAAACTGCCATGTTTGTATGTATTTCCACGTTATTTAGAGTAAACTGCTCTGTACTGCAGGAATGATAAACAGTTATTTCTGCTGTTGAGAACAAAAAAACCACACCTCCTTTTTAGCACAATATTTTCCTTTCAGCTGGATATTCTTTCATGCATATGGTTGATTATTTTCCATTTTGGCCTGAGCAGCACAATCATATAAACACAACCTTTGTGTTGAGTTTAATTCTTGTTTTTGTTTTTTTTCAGCGTATAATTGTGTAACTTGCCCCTTTTTAATGACCATAGACAAAAGCAGTGATTGTTCTTTAAGCAGTCTCACAGAAATAAAGAATATTCCATGCCTATGCAATTTTTAATGTTAATTGCATCGACACTTTATGAGAAATTTTATGATTTAAGGAAATATTTTACATGTACAGATGTGATCATAAGTGTCCTTATTGTAACCCTGTAATCAAACTGTGTGTCTCTGTGCGTCTCTGTGCTTTATGTCAGTGCTGATTGTTTCATTAACGCTCATCTTTTATATTTGCTGTTTGTTTCAAAGTTGATGGACAAAGAAGGGACCGTGAGAGTTTCCCAAAAATAACTGATTATGTTATTTGCTCGATCCAAGAGCGATGGACCAGAAGCTTTAGAGCTTAATCTGAGGGTTCATTCCGATGTTACAGCAGTACTAGGTGAGTTTAACGTACCTTGTGGAGTATGACTTTACTGTTTATCGCAAAAAACGACAATCAAAACACAATAAAGACGTCAGGCAAAGAAAACTGCTTCAAAAAAAGACCACAAAGAAGCACACAGTGTCTACACCGAGATACAGAGTGACACAAAACAACTGCAAAGACAAAGAAGACCACAGAGAGGCACACAATGATGGCACAGATATGCAAACATTCCAGCAAAATTATATAAGACAAGTATAAAGACTGTAAAGAGGAAAACAAAATGGCTTGGCTCCAAAGAAATTGAAAGTAAAAATTGTAAGTAACTACAAAGAAACTACATAAACCCTAAAAAAAAATAGAAATGGTGAAAAAATGCCTTAAAAAAGACCAAGAGATAAACAAAAATTAAAAATGAAAAGAAAACTGTTTCCCCACCCAACCAAAAAACTGAAACATGCAACATGGTAAATGGCCTGTATTTATATAGCGCTTTACTAGTCCCTAAGGACCCCAAAGTGCTTTACATATCCAGTCATCCACCCAGTCACACACTGGTGATGGCAAGCTACATTGTAGCCACAGCCACCCTGGGGCGCACTGACAGAGGCGAGGCTGCCGGACACTGGCGCCACCAGGCCCTCTGACCACCACCAGTAGGCAACGGGTGAAGTGTCTTGCCCAAGGACACAACGACCGAGACTGTCCGAGCCGGGGCTCGAACCGGCAACCTTCTGATTACAAGGCGAATGCCCAACTCTTGAGCCACGATCGCCCCAACATGACAAAACAAGTAAAAAGAATTTTTTTTAAAAAGACATAAAACGACAACATGAAGTGAAAAATTTCCAACAAGAAGCAACAAAAAGACAAAAAAAAAGCTGTAACGAGATGTAGCGTGACGACAAAGTGACAGAAAACTGCTAAAAAGACGAGACGAGAAAAATCCAAGCAGATGCACATGACCACAAACACATAAAATGACAACAGAGAAATCCAAAGCGCAGCTCTGCAGCCACAAAAACAGTGACGACCAGCTACAAGCTAGCAGAACATGAGGTTCATACGAACATTCAGCTGTTTTGTCAGAAGAACAAAAGTGAAACTTTATGTTGATTTGTTCTTAGAAAATCTCCACATGGTACTTTGAAACTACAAGTAACTACAAGTTGCAATGCTTTGCTAGTTTATTAGCTGGAGCTAACCGAGGCGCATTATTCCCGAGGCTCGATCAGAGAAGTTCATTCTAACTTTAAGAGAATTCGTCTCCTCTTTCCTGTTTTCCTTACACAACATTTAGTCCTGTTTATTGCCTCTGATCTCTATTTACTACATCAGATGTAATCAGTGCGTCCTGTTACAGCAGAGTTTCAACCAGGGTATCGCGTTGTAAAGACGACTGTGCTAATAAGGTGAACGAAGAATTCACCAAACCTTTACTGTCGCAGATTTTCTTTTTTTTTTGCTTGTTTATTTGTTTGTTTTTTAACTTAAAAATTGACTAAGCTTTCTATTTGGAATTGAGCGGGGTATTTAAAGTTGAGAAGGTGGAAGCTGGTTAGGCAGTTTACATTTGGTACTAGCTCACATGCCTGCAGCAGGAACGGAGCGAGGGCTGGTTCTCTGAAAAGGTTAGGCAACATAAACTTCACGTCCTCAGAACATTTTCCATCAATATTTGGAGCGCATTGCTGTACGCAAAAGGTCCATCGGTCATATACAAACCCCCCCCCCCCCCCCCAAATACAGTATTTTTACAGTTCAGTAAGCAGCGAGTGCACTGCTTCAACTAAAAACCTGTAATCTGTCCTAAAGATCTTTAAAAATGTCTCCACGGTGTCGCTGAACTGTTTAGAAGCAACGTCTACAGTCATCTTGAGTATCGCAGCTTAATTAGTTAGGCGGTGATTAAGAGAACTAAAGCTGGGACAGTCGGGTCTGTTCTTCTGTCTAGTAACTGGAGATTTATTCTCCTGTTTTTTTTACTTCTAATACTTTGGGAAAATATACCACAATGAGACTACAGCTGGGATTCATGCTGCGTTAGCATGTCACTTTATCTGTGGCCCTTGTTTGGATAATCAGGCGTCAGTATTAAAGATGCACTGAGACTTTTACACGTGAAACAGCAGCTGACCTGCAGCTCGTCGGCAGTGGACGTGGCAGCTGTGCATTTCTCCCACGGCCTTCTGTTCTGAGTCAGGCTGCAGTTAGTTAAACATTTTAGTTTCAGCCTCTGTTTGCTGTACTTTACTGTAACAGCTGCTACTCCATTCATATTTTAGGAATATTTGAAAACAGAAAATACACATCTATAATAAAATTGGGCTGTGTAGAAAATATGATGCATGCCTCGACAGCGTTCAGTAAGTGGATGTTACAGACGTCAACAAATCCGCCAAAGCAAACTTCCCAACGTGACAGCAGTTCAGCGTAAAATCAGGAATTCTTTCAGATCTTCGGTGCATGTAGGGGTTGAAGTGACAGTAGATACCTTCCTGCCACTCCTTCCCTCGCACCGCTGTCACAAAGACTGGATTGCCCTCCATTTAAGAATCATCCACTGTCGCGAAGCTAATGAGTACGCAGGTTTGGGTTGGTGGTATTTCTACTTTGTAAGAATGCCGTCCGAGGTTCGCTCTCGCTCCCCCTCGTCGCCTTCTCTGCCTCCGTCGAACAGCGGAGCTCTTGTTTTGCCAGGAGGTTTCCAGAGTTATTCCAGCTGTGGCACAGACCACCGTGTCAGCTGCTCATGAAAATCCGCTGATGGCTACCAGGAAAACAAAATTACTGCCGCCCTGTTTTAATTTAGCGCTATCAAACTTTTGCTTTACCAGGAGATTTTGTAACCTCTGGCACACAGAAGGAACCAGTCTGCAGTGTTGGTGTTATTATTCTACAGACATCTACATTTTTCAATAAATCTTTACATCAAAATTTCTCTGTTGATGATCTAATGTCTTTAACACCTGATTAAGTAGCATAAGTGAAAGGTGCAGATAATCAACACCAGACTGTGCCGTTCCCGTCATTTCTTGGAGCATTTTAGCATCTTTGGGCTCGTTGTTTTGAGCTGAAGATGCTAAAATGCAGTACTTTCATGTTCTCAGCCAGCAGCGCGGTTTCTGTGAAGTAGCTTGGATAAAAACCATTTCACTTTTCCAACAAGTCACTCTGGGGCGTCTAGCTGCAAAATACCACAAGACTTCATTCAGGAAACCAAAACAGCTAAAAGGCAAATGAATGTTGGACTTCCATTTGCCTGGAATCTGACTCCAAACTGCACTGCACTCGTCCATCACTGTCGTTTGCTCTTTTCCTCAACAGAAGAAGAAGCTGTATTATCTAGATAAGGCCTTTACATTAAAAGGATGTAATGCACTCACAAAGCAGTAAACAAATAATATGACTAGTTATGAATGATTTCAAGTTGGTTTATTAGCACGTGTTTTCTGCTCAGCATACCCTGGTCTGGTCCATATGCACAGGTAAATCTCTGCTGATGCGCTGAAGCTGTGTCAAACTCATGTATTGGTTATTTTTATGGTTGGTCTTTGAACATGTTACGCTTCCTTTCATTGGAGCACATATGATGCAAATCCTCTCATAAAGAAAACTGTTTCATAAGTGAATTTGTTCGCGTTGTCTGCCGTCGTAGCCCCGCCTGTAAAGTGCCTTCGGCTGAGCAGTATTGAATCACCTTACTCTGACTGTGTATTTCATGTTTCCTCTTTCACCTCAAAGAACTTCACTTCTTTACCTGTTTTTTTTTTTTTTTTTTTACCAAAGTAAATAAAGACTATCCCCTTTGTAGATGTCTCCATCAGGTGCTTAAGGCTGCAGCCGCTCCCGAGTTTTAACTCACCTCGTATAGCCCAAGCCGCTATTTTGAGTAAAGCATCTGTTCTTGATCTTCTGAAGGGACTTGATGTAGTCTTTTTGTTTTTTTCTTTCTTCCTTCAATAAAAGCTTTGCAATAGCAACACGTCTCTGTGTCTTGCTTCCTTTTGCTGTGTTTTGTTTAATTATATGAAAAATCTTAAACCTCTATCTCTGATTCGGGCCCGTCCACCCCCTCCCCCGCCGCCGGTTAACACTTGGCCTTTCGGCTCCTGGTCCGGTGGATTGCCCAGGTAATGAGCTCGTTCTCTCTGTCTTCTCCTCGTGCCACCTGTTGGTGACTTCCTCTGCACTGTACCTGCAGATGAAAGAGATTTATCCCCAACAAGTAAAAGCCGTGACTACTTGAATCACTCTCTCTTCAGTAGCAGCTAATGCACCTGCTTACATGTCTCCCCAAACAGTCCTTAGCTGGAATCACCAGCCTAAAAGAAATCTTACATTTGCAACACTCTTTTGTGTATAACTGAGACTGTGGTTTAATTACACCAGCACTGTGTCACAGTCTCTCTCTCTTTTTTTTTTTAGGGACACAATCAGCAAATGCACTCGACTATGAAGTATGCTCACTGCTGGGATCAACTTGATGGAGTTGTTAGAATAATTTAAAGACCTGTTTTTTTCCTCTTCTTTTTAAACTGCCACCTTTCCAGGACCCGCTTGATTTAATCCTTTCCATTTGTCATCTTTACTTGTGAGTTGCAGATCAGCAGTAAGTCGCTGAGCACTTTATTCCCTTCTTGCAGACTGCAAAATTGAAATGGTACGAACGAGGCGAT